TCCCGTTCCAACCGAACCGGTTGGAACGGGATTAGCAACCCACCCCTGGTTCACACCATATGTTTGACCCAGTCAAAACACTTGATGGATAGTATAGTTCTTGCAACTGTCACAGTAACTGGATCCAAACCCATCATCTGGGAATAGAGTCCCCAACCGTTTTCTCCAGGAACTGCCCAGTATTCCATTAGCCCTGGCTATTGGTCAGGCCAAGACCGCCAGACCCAGCTGCAAAAAACCAGGCAAACTCTAAATGGCAGCAGAGAGATCTAGCTGCAAAAGGACTATTGCAAAATGACAATAGCCGGGAATGGCTATTGCCACCTAGAGGTTTTCTTGATGCTTGTGCCCAGTTCTTTTAACCCTTAGGAAAGGCTTAAGAATATGACCTCCCTCGGTGGAAGCAGGAGAGGTAACTTCAGTCTATCGCTGTTATGATGGAATCTATGCCCTCTGCTAACTGGCAGTGACATTTGTAACGGACGGCTTGGAAGTGTGCAGAAGAAGGCTTGGATTGTTGTCTGAAATATTAGGACATTTCTGCCAAGCGAGATGTTTTTTGTGGTTGTTCATATGGCTCCTTGGCAAAATATTGAAAGCCTGATTCCAGAGGCCACTGTATATTAGTTCAAGAACTATGTATAATAAAACCAAGAGTAAACCAACTCAATGCTCAGTGGACCTCAACGGTCTCCAAATACGATGTTCTCCGAGGCTGTTCCTAAAGGTACTCAAATCGGTGGACCACGGTTTCTGCCCTCTTGGTTAGTCGTTGCTTGTTTCTTTTGATTGCACCCATGTGCAGTACCAATGTTTTCCTTTGGTTGCAGATTCCAAGCATGTTTGAGGGAACCAATGAAAAGAGCTGTGATGACATCAAAGAGTCAACAGGTGCATGCGTATTGTCATCCCCACCTCCCACGTCAATGCCCGGGAGTCAGAACCAGGATTGGGAAACGTGCATCGTGTTTCTTAATTCAAAATTTCCCTTTATTTTTTTTTAAAATCCTGATTCTTCAAAGTCCAGCTGAAATGTTTAAAACATGCTGTAGTTGCCATCAAGCTCTCCTTATGTGCAGTGAGTTTCTCTGATATGGGAAGCCCATTTGTTTACTTTGGCCTTAGAGTCTTGTGCAGACTGGAGGTGGCTCAAGAACCATGGTTCGTGGCTTAGTGTTTTGGGGAGACGTCAAGCAGGTGTAATTCATTCACTATCAATCAATTAGTATAGAGCTGGAAGGAGTCTGGGAGGTCTTCTAGTGCAACCCTCTGCTCAAGCCAGAGAAACTATACCTCAGGGGTGGGTTTCAGCCGGTTCGCGGCGGTCCCTGCGAACCGGTTGGTCGCCGAACCCGGAAGTAAGTAACTTCCGGGAACGGCGAAGGGCCCGCCCGTGCGCCCGCACCCGCTCCTTACCCGGTTTTGACGAATTCTGTGCTTCCACGCATGTGCAGGACGCATACAGCGCCTGCGCGATCCTCCAGGAGCAGCTGGAGCATCG